CCCTCGTGAGCCGATGAGGATGCCTCCATCTCCCATGACAGCACCTTCTCCCATACCCATGTCAGTGCACTCAAAGCATCGTCTGATGATTTGTACCGACCAATGATACAATCTGTCTGCATGGCTTCATACTACCTGTCACACCAGACAGTAAAGCTGCTGTGTTTTACAGTAAAATGCAAATATAGCAGATAATGTTAGTGGCAACACACAGTAAATTCCTAGTACTAAACATGCCATGAAAATGAACATCCTCTCTATTTGCAGGTGGAAGCCACTGGTTCCCAGAGCTCATTCTGTGAGTGTCTATTCCTCTCAGTGCTTCGTTGTTATCATTTCCTTATGCTAAGCTCTGTCCCTATTTAAATAAAGAATGTCAAAATAGAGGCTGAATCGGAAATGTACGTTTTTATTCATACTGTTTTTCAATTTCCTACGTAGAAAATGAAACTCATCAGTATGACACAGCAGAAACTTTTTATTTCCCTTCTTTCAGAATCCATCCCTGCCGTCCTTAAATGACTCAAGTACGGGTACAGACAAACCATTGTATAATTGTGAAACACTAATCAGTACAAACTACATCCAAATAAATAGTTGTTATCATTATGACAGCGATGAACATATCTTGTCTCTATAACTCCTCCAGTTGAAGCAAGACGAGGCACATTTCCTACCAAACTCCCTTTACCCCCCACCAGTGTGAAGCCCCCTCTGCTAGCCCACCTGAAGGAACGCAAACTCAGGTAAGAGGTGACAACTACAAAGTCATTTCTAAGCCATAAGAAACACGAGTTGAACATTAAATGGCAATGATTTACATAGATTTCCAGCTTGTTTCTGCAGATGATCCCACCTGAAAGTGTACACATACATCATTATTCAATTCAATGTTTAACATGAGATTCATGGTCTTTATTCTAGCATTGCACCAATGCCAGACACTAAGCCTGTGGGTAAGCTACATTTTTGTTTATTAAATAGTGTTTTTTAAATCCTGAGAAATGACTGTGATCATTTGTGGTCTGCATATATATTTGAAGAATTCCAAATGTTGCATGGACTATACTTTACATCTATTTAAACATGTTTGGGAATATGGATTTACTAAACCTGCGAAAACACACAACATGTTGTCTGTCTTGAAGTCTCCTCTGGTGGCATGAGGGCGACCAAACAGTCTGGGAATGAGGTAAGTTATCTTTGCACGCAGAAAATCAAATACAAAATAGTGAGGAATGATTTACTATTGTTGACCATGTGATGTTACAGGACAAAGAATGGTTTGCTGTAGATTGCAACAGAAAGAAAGCCGAGGAGCTCTTACTGAGAGTCAACAAGGTAAAGTTGAATTTAATGTGGAGATAAAATGTGTTTTTTTCCATTTAGTGGTTTTAGGGAATAATGATTGGAGTTCATTCGTCATTTCAAACAAACTTTTTGTTCAGCTGAGCTAACACAAAGGCTTAAGGCAAGGGTGTTGCTCAGATATTGGGGAAATTTGCTGCGTGTTCATGTGCATGTTTTTGCTGACGCTCAATTAAAAGTGAGTCACACACCTTCAGGGCCTCTGTGAAGGTGAATTATTTCCCAATTCAACCACTTACTCTGGAAAATATGGACAATGTTTTTACATCACCCTGAATTCTTTATCCATCCTGCACTGTGATGTGTAAATCTTGCTTGGATTTCCCCTTCTCTTTGTCCTCATTGTAGGACGGTGCCTTTCTTATCCGACACAGCTCAGCTCAGAGCATCCGGCAGCCGTACACCCTCGCTGTGCTCTACCAGCAAAAGGTGTACAACGTTCCCATCCGCTCCATGGGGGAGACACAAGGGTATGCCCTTGGAAAAGAGGGCAAGAAGAATGAAGAGGTGATGGCAAATTCATATTTAAGAAAGGAGAGTGAGCTGTAGGAAGACACAGAGTGTAGAACGCAAAAAATAGAGCAGGGTTCTGGAAGAATGTTAATCTTTTCATTTATTACATCTCTCTGTTTATCTTGCTGTCCCTCTCTCAGATATTCAACTCCCTCGACGAGATGATTTCTCATCACAAGAATAACCAGCTTCTTCTGATCGACAGCAAGAGCCAGGCCAAGCAAACAACTTATTTAACCCATGCTGAACGCCCTTAAAACCACACTAGGAGCTTCTGTCAGGTTGTATTCAGGGTAACATAATGAACATTGTAGCTACTGTTTGAAAGTTTCTGTAGGTACACGGTGTGTCACATGTGTGTATTAAGTTTAACTCTATGAAATCAGTCAGCTAACGTATGGTTTCCTTTATATTGTTCACAGATAGGAATAGCTTGTAATGCACTGGAACCTTAGCAGATATCATATTTCACCAACCATTTCTCCAGAGAGTAGTCTCAGCTTCTGCATGATGTAAGAACAGCATAACCTTACAGTAAAGTGTCTGTTGGTTCGCAAAGTGATATTGTGTTGTCATAACTTTAGCAACAATTGAACATGGTTAACAGTTTTTTTGTGAAAAGGAACATATTTCACTATTTGTTTCCGCCTTAAGATAATGGTGTTAGTGTAATATTACTGTATATTTCAATCTCCTTTCTAGCATTACAGTATATTTCTGCTGTGTAACAGATGCCACACCACATCACATTGCCTTCCAGGTTGCAGCTTAACTCTTCACTTTGTGCCTCCTGCTCATTTCCATATGACAGTGGTCATGTGTGATGAACTGTTGAGATAAATGTGACCATTAATCAGACATTTTTATTACAGCAATAGAGAGTTGTTGTGAGTCTTTCCCCCAAGTTTAGTTTGATAGCTTTAAAATGGTTTGATATATTACAATTGTCTTTTAGGACGTGATATTGTAGATATTGTTCAATACAAAGACAAAATGAAACTTTGTTTTTGTTTCTTTCTTTTGCCATAGTTTCGCTGTTTTTACAGAACTGGACCATTGTCTTTATCTGATGATTGTGTTATGGGTGTGGCTCATGTACAGGATTAGATAGATAGATAGATAGATAGATGGATAGATAGAGAAATATATCACAAATAATACACTATATAAAATAACAGATTTAGTGTTTAATAAAAGGTTGATGTTTGATGAAGTCTTTTCAGTAAACTCAAACCTTCACTGCTGTCAATCTGCGTCACTGAAGGTCAGTGTGGTGAGCGCAGGGTTTGTGGGTTTAACTAAATATCAAGGAGCTGTGTGTGTGCGTGTGTGCATGTGTGTGTGTGTGTGTGTGCATGCGTGTGCGTGTGTGATGTGTGTGTGTTCTTCCTTCCAGTGGCACTGACCAGACATTGTTGGTAACACCTGTTTCCTGTCAGGGTGAAACCACCGTCTCTGTGGCCAGAACATAAATCCTGGGCCTGCCAGCAGACAACAGAGTCCTGTGTGCATGATTTGACTAAAAGAGTGTAAACAGCGACGTTATAAACATATTAGCGTTCAATCTTAAATATGTTTTAGAGTGATATCGGCTCATTAACTGGGAAAACTAAGTAAGGGAAAAATGATGGCTATAATGTGCCTGAAGTCATGATATTACTTACAGGAAGGGGCATATTATGTATTTTTGTTTTTAGAATTTACCATTTTATTAAACCAGAAAAACGTATACGTTTTTTTTTATCATATTAGCTGGTAGATTTGAATACAGGCTGAAAGGGTAGAGCGAGTTCGACATTTGGTTGTATTTACATAGGCCACTGTGTGTAAATGAGTACGAAATAACTTCCTGGAGCCAGGGTAATTTGACAGGTGGGTGTAAGCCATGTTGAAGCTCTGTTACAGGATTACTGCTGGGATGAAAAACAAATGTATCCTCAGGATTCCAAACCCAGACAAATGTGTGTGATTTGCAACATAATTTATGTAGCAGCTCACCATACATTTAGACTAAAATCTCTTTAAAGTAAGAAGGATCTTTTTTATTTGTTCACTCAGACTCAGTTCTCCACAAGCTTAGGTTTATTTTCATAATTTTTAGGCATTTTAGCCATTATGAGGTAGTGCAAGTAGAGGGGTGAAAGGAAATGAATGGGGAAAAAGAGACGGGATGGCATGCAGTAAAAGATCCCTGAAAGGACATTTCAATTATAGCGAGCATGCTAAAGCCACCGGGTAGCCCCGAGTTAGAACATTTATTAAAAAAAAATAGAATTATAACTGTAATCATTTTACTGCTTTATTAGATTTAAAAAAGATACTGGGAATATGTAATGTATATGGCACAGTGATTTAATCCTGCTGTGCCATATACTAAACGTTTTGTATAGGGCAGAAAGTTTGACATTTAATAACTAAGGAAGTTAAAACTGTAGTGTTGGTCAGATCCTGTCCACATCATGTGTGTAATACTGACTCACATTAGTGGTCTAAAGGCCTTTGTGGATTTTAAAAGGAAGTATTTTTCAGACCAACCGCAAACAGCTGACAGGTCTAAATGATAAGATTAGTTTAAAACACTAAATTATTTTCTGTTTTGCATTTCCTATATGCAAAATCCTCTTATCCTCTTACACTTCACCCTCATTTGCTCTTGTGGGTATTGTCCACAGTATAATAACTGTTACATGTCTAATATGTGTAATGTGTAATTGTAAAGCGCTTTGAGGGCCTTGAAAAGCGCTCTACTAAAAATGTAATGAATTATTGTTATTATTATTATGCATTCAACATTTTGTAAGAACATAAGTTTGTCAAAATATCTTGATGCATCTGAAGGGCATTAGGTGATGTTTAAAACCACATAGCATTTTTATAACTGTGCACAACCTGATGATGATAGTGACTGTATACGTCAAAAAGATGCAGTTTCAGCTCTTTGGGGAAAAAAAGCATCCTTAAAAAGTATAATTTTAAAGAAATCATGCAAAGGTGGGGCGTTTTGTCACGAGCCCTGATTTCGAAGTTGGTGGGCAGGAAGGGGGAAGGGGCTGCGGCGGAGGGGTACACACTGCACATCCGACCGCCTGCATTGACAGCTTAGAGAAAATAAAGGAATTTACGACACAGGGAACTCACGAGAGCTCATCAATTACAATGAGTCAGCGTGGATTTTTTTAGCACGCCCCTCGATCCTTCTACAATTCTCTTGGATCACACACTAGTTGAAGAGGACTAGTTTTCTTGGCGGAGGTGCGGAGTTTTTGATTCAGGACTGCTGTATGGGGGCTACTGAATGGGAGCAGTCACTGGATTCGTGTGATACCAACGCAATACACCAGACTACCTACCACTGCCCATCGGATTTGACTTTTTGGGACGTTTAGGGCACAAACAGAACAAGATCACCTCTATTTCTCCGGTTGTCCCCTTCCCCTTTCCTTTCTCACGGATTGTTCTGAAAGAGAAATCCTGCAGTCATGGCTCAAATACTGCCGATACGATTTCAGGAACATCTGCAGGTAAGCAGACACAGAAAAGCCCTACAAATACATTTTTGCTCGTTTGTTTTAGCGCAACTCCTTTTATCCGTGTAGGTCCGCGCACACACGGCACATGTCGCATTTATATATAATCTGAAATAGTGCTGCAGGGTGGTGCTCAATATAGCTACAGGCCTAGTTTTCTCGATGACTTGTACAAATTGACCAGTGAGATCTCATAGCCTACAGCTCCACTGCGGACCGGTGTGTGTGTGGATACGCCGCAGTTTTCTCCTCCAAGTGGAAAAACGCCGCTGTCATTTTCGGTCAGCGTCGATGCTAACTGCGGTGTCCTTACATTTCATGCTGCAGTCAACTGAGCTCAGCTGTTGGAGATAACATTGTAAGTGAGACCTGAATGGCACTTGCACTCCAGCTTTGTGGCTACCATGTTGTCATTCCCTGCAGCAACATTTTCCTACTTTTTAACCTTTAATAACACCGGCAGGGCGTCTCTTCAAATGCTGTGCATAACTGACACCATTTTATATTTGTTAGGTAATTATAAGGTGTATTTACACAGGGTCCTTTTTGGAAGTGTGTAAAGAAAGGTAAGAGTGCATTGAAGCATTTAGTTTGCTCTAAACCAGTTAATGTTATAATGTTCACAAAACATCAACACATTATTGGAGCAATGTCTTGATATTGCAATAATCCAAACCCACATGGGATCTAGTTTCATATGACAGCATCAATACAATAGTGATTTGATGTAACCATCTGCTCTTCTTGGTGGTATTTTCATGCCAGAGGCCCATCTGTGCATCTTTAAAATGACCAGCATCAAAATGCTAGTAGGAAAGGTTCTTTAGTCTTTGGTTGGAAGTCTGTTGGGGAAGAGAAACACACAAAATGCCCGTTTTACTATATGTGACAAAAAAACTAAACAAACAACCAGTTATTTGGTAATCTGTGGAAGAAATGTTCCTACTATGGCCCCTTTCTGTCTCTGGTTTGCACTTTATTAATCATTGTCCCATAGCAGCCCCAGTGCTTGGTGCCTTGCAGTCAAAAGAGAAAGTTTGTGACGCACCCCTCCACCTCCCCTTGTCTGTAGCCTGTTGTTATGGTAACAGTAGGCAGTGAAATGGCCTTTCACTAGAAAAAAAAAGAGGCACAGAGCCCCCACCCCCCTCTCTGCTCCCTTCCTCTGGCCAGTAGCCCCACTTTCGTCAGCCAAAGAGCCTTTATCCTCCAAAAAACTGTGCTGGCCAAGAGAGCTTGCAGCTAACCAAGCTCCTCTCCTCACTGACAGGCCTGGTGCTCGCTGATGGAGGGCAGTGCACAGCCTGGCAATGTCAGGGTTATTATTTCAGATTGCTCTCAACAGCACATACCTTTCCCTTAAACATCTCCTAAGAAACCCTCGCCTTGAGACTGATAAGCAGCAGACCTCTACCGTGAAATCCCAGCTCTGCTCCTCTGTGAATCTAGGTGGCTCCAGCCGAGTGAAAAATGCTTGGAATTTGCAAAACCAGGACTTTGGGCCTCAAGATGTTTAGCCTTTTCCTTTTTTTCTCCTTGGATTGGTATTTACAGCTCTGTGTCTGCAGTTAGAGACGGGAGTCAGGGGTGTAACGTGGGCCCATCTTCATGATGAGGTACCAGCCTTCAGAGCTAGAGGTTGCATTAGAGCAGTGGTTCTCAAATTTTTTCTGTCAGGCCCCCCCTTTGGAGAAAAAAAAAAAGTCGGGCCCCCCCAACACAAATAGTCAGGCTCAGTGGCGGCGCCAGAGATTTATTTTGGGGGTGCTGTGGGGTAGCTTGACGTTTCATAGAGGGTGCTCAAACATTTAGAGTTTCCCATTAATGTACCGGGCGCTACCGTGGAATTTTCTACTGCAACAATCCCCACGCATATACACAGTGTACCCGCGACTGTTACAATGAAGGCTCAATAATCAGCTCACGGCATATAGGTGCAAGCAGGGGTCAAGTGCTATTTTTATAGGTGGTGTGTGGACCTCACATAGGGGGGTCCGGGGGCAAGCTCCCCCGGGAAGATTTATTTCTAAATATTGAAGTTAAATGCATCAATCTGGTGCACTTTGAGAGCAACATGAAGAGATCTATGGATACATCTCTCAACACCCATATGAAACAGAACTGTAAACAGATTTACTTTTTCTTTATGGATATTTTACAAATCACCCTTTTAAACTTTATTCATTTTTTACTGTCATTTAGTATTTTATAGCTGTTTTTCATTTATTCTCTTATTTTTTTATAACTATAATGATCATATAAATGTGTGCCTCGGAAATAATTGTTTACATTAATGGTGACCAAAACGTTTGAGACCTACTGAGATAACACTGAGAGTCCTTTAGCTCACTCAGTCTCTCAGTCTGACAGGAGAGCACTCTCCTCCACTTTGTTGTTGAAAAAACTCCTTATATCTGTTAGCGTAGCTCGCTAGCACCAGAAGCTAACAACAACGATCTGCGGTACCGGTGCGCTCTCTCTCTCTCTCTCTCTCTCTCTCTCTTTTCCTCCTGGTCTCTCGCGCCCCCCCTGGCACGCCCCCCACTTTGAGAACCACTGCATTAGAGAAAGAGCAAATCAAATGCTCCTAATATCTTCATTATTCCACTCCAACCTGTTCTTTAATACTGCTGTTTTTGTTAAATCTGGACGTGAAAATGGTGTAGTGAGTTATGAAAGTGCTAAAGTGAGTCATTTGTAGCTTATGTGGCTCTGCAGCCTACATACTGTAGCAGCTTGTGTAAGTGCAAAAATGTCCTGCAGCTCATTGTCCTATCTAGTCGAGTTAGGAGAGTCCAACCTGCTTCTCTGCGGTTGTTTACAACATCATGGTGTGTGATGCTGTTTCTGTGCTTATGAAATGATGCCATCACGTCAACAGATGTGACAGGCATATGAGGTAAGCAAGCCCTACTTAAGCCCGGCAAATCACATCAGGATAGGATGCAGCATGACAGTGTAACGGGACACATCTGTGACTGCAACCGTGGCTGGTGGGGATGAGCGTCTGTGTTCAGTCACCAAAACTGAATCATGAATGCGTTAAAAGAGCAGTCATTCACACATACAATAAGTACATTGTGTTCTTATGTACTGTCATACAAGTCACACACATGAAAGCTGCATTAACTGCACTGTAACTGATTTTTATTTTCCATAACAATTCAGTTGCAGATTATATTCTAGATTTGATTAACTGTTTTGTCTATAAGTGTCAGAAAATACTGAAAGCTGTCTATTAATTACTCACAGCCTGATGTAAAATCTAACCAAGGCTGAATGCTGCATTTTCGGCCATTTGTGCATAACAAATGGCTTTTTATGATAACTTATGTCAGTTTAACGATGATACAGAGCAACATTAGCATTCATTTAGAGTCCAGTTTCTAACCACTGATGAATGTTAGTTCAACATTAGCTCTCTTTTTTGGTCAACACCAACTCACATGCTAAATTGTGCCACACATCTACTGTTTATTCTTAGAGAGTCTACCTAAACAGAAAAAGTTGAAGGCCCTAAAACCAAAACAGATGCTATAAACTCTGTACAGCTGAGGGGAAATGTTCCAGTTCCAGTTTTCTGTGTGTTTATCACTACTGATGACCTGCACATACTCATTTGATCTATTAATAGTAGAGCATATTTGTTGGAGCAGCTGTAAGGCTTTCATTTTCGGCTATATTATATACCTCATAATCTACAGGCTGCATACCTAACCTGTACCTGCTACCTGTGGAAGACAGTGTGAACTGTGAAGTAGCAAAAACTTGCACATCTTTTTTCTGCTTGCCTCAGTTTTAATTGTGCTTGTGTAATCTCCTGATGAACCCAAAGCCTCAGCTGCTGATGCGACGTGTCAGTGCCTCAGCAGTGTGTCCAACCAGCCTATGACTCATCAGATACTGTCAACACTATATCATCCGTGAACTTCTGCTTCCTTTGTTATTGTGATATGTGTGTGTCTGTTGATCCCAGCTGTTGAGGAAAGAAGACTATTAGGTGTGTGTGTGTGTGTGTGTATATTACTAGAGGTAGTTGGACACTGGAGACAGTAGGTTGTAGTTGAAGTGTGATTTTAGACTGGAATGTTCTACCACGAAGGAGTGTGGGGGGGTTTACTTCCTGTCAGTTGCCCCACCCTGTGCTGTAGATTGCCAAAGGCCTGTGTTACTGGAAGTGCTCTGTACATACATAACTCTCATCCCTCCTTCTTTATTTCTCATGAAAGGTACATTAATCACTGTAGCTTCTCTCCTTCACACGGGTTCTCTCCTATCTCCCACCCTCCCCTCGTTTTCAGCACAATAACTTGAGCTCCTCCATTTACTCCCATCCTTATCTTCATGTCTCTATCTTTATTGTGGTTTTCCTCCCCTCTCCTCCCAGAGATAGTTTTGGCAGTCTTGAGGATATTAAGCAACATCGGGCTCTAATCTACCCTCAGGTTTTCTCTTTGGCCTTTATCTTGTACGTCCACTTAACTTCACAGAAATCAACCGTACATCATTCAATTATTTATATAAAAAGTCAAAAAGAAGTGAAAATTGCTCACCACAGTTTCCCAGAGCACAAGACAAAATCTTAAAATTGTTGATTTTGTTAGACCAATAAGTCAAAATCCAAACATATTTTGGTTATATTAAAAATATCTATCTCTATAAGCGTTGTCACATAGCTATCATATGCCTAAAACAGTGTGTCCTGATGCTCTTCTAGGTAATCATACATCCTGTTACGTACACAGCTACGTAGAGCTTTCGTTATCATGTGCTACTCTGATATTGGTAGAGTACATTCAGTATTTTTCCAACAATAGAACTTAAAGGAACTGCAGAGCTAGCTCATAACATTTCTCTGTAGAGGTATACTGAAAACCCCCTCTTGTATTACAAAAACTGATTCTAAAGGGATTTCTAAAATAACAAAACATTGATTACCACGGCTTTATCCTAGTGTGACTGAACATCTAAGGATGTATATTTTTGGATATAAATTAAATGTAATTATTTAATAATTATTTTTGCCAGAGAACAGCTTCTTTCATTGTGACCCCCCTCCCCCCCACTGATGATGATGATGTTTCATTCTGCCTCTTATGTGAATGATTTAAAGGGCTCAGCGGTCATGATCTGTTGTCCTGCTCCAGCAGCCTTCTGTGAGATAGTACAGTCCTTGTGATGAGCATCAGGATTCCTTTCCGCTTGCCTCAGACTGCATAATGCACTGTGTTCAGTCGTCAGAGGGAGAGAGAGCTTGTTTTGGTCTGTCCTCTCAGTTCACAGTTAGTTTGACAATGTGCACAATAATTCCCTCTGTTCAGTAGCCGTTTATCCAGGTGGAGAGTTTCATGTTGGTTAGTTCTGCTAAGCTACTTATTTCCCTTTAGAAAAGTAAATATGCTGAATAATGGATTGGATTTGCTGATTTAGTAAAAATATTCAAATGTATTCTTAACTTTAGTGGATGTCTATTTAGGACTTTCTTTAATGACTGGTTTCTGCTGAATAATCTGGTGGTGATTAAACCTTTTTTCAGCAGACTGCTCAGACGATTAAATTCAGAGTCAGCTTTTAATCACAGCCTCCATTGAAATAGAGTAACTCTTTACTTTTTTTTATGATTGAGATGTCATGATGGGATACATAATAGCTGTGAAAGTAAAAGAAAAACCTTCTATCTTCAAACTTGGTTCTCAAAATATTTTAATAAATGTAGGAGATTATTAGCAGCTATATTAAGAGTGTGTGTGCCCACACTTGTTCCTTGTACCACTAGACCTTCTGTCTGGAAACAACCTTTACGACTATCCCTGGAAAACTGGAGCAAACCTGCTCTCATTTTAATCCAAACACTGTTTTGGTCCACTACTTGCTTGCTGTTTTTTTCCCACTGCAACGAAATGTCAGATGCTGCCAAGTATGTTTTCTCAGTGCATTTTTTGTAGCTGTGACGGAGGCGTACCTCCTTCAAAGGCCTTAAAACTCTGTACAGTTGGAATATTACTTCTAGCTAAGTTTAACTTTAAGTCAAAATGTAAAAAAACTTTTCACACACTTTAATGGAAGTCTTTTCTTCTTCCCTTTTTTTTTAATAATTCAACATATTAGTGGACCATTACAACTATGAGTTCAGTACCAGCTCATCCATTACAGCAATTATTTGGTAACACCCTCCCTTTTTCAGAATTGAATGTATATAGTATGTAGTTTTAGGCACATATAGATACATGTTATGCTTATATGTTTTATATTTGTCAATAGGTTATAGCTGACAAAAGAAACAAGAATAAGCTCTCAAAGTATTAGTTGAACTAGGGATGTTTAGTTGATTATTCAATTAAACCTTGCTACCTGTGCTAGCATAGACCATCAAACTTTTTAGCAAAATTATAATTACTTTATTGATGTACACATTTAAAATAATCTATTGGCATAATTTGCTCTGAAATCTCATGTCTTTATAGTCAAATGTTGCTTTTAAAAAAGCCGCAAATGGCATAAAAAGAAAACATCTTTTACATATGAGAACGATATATACATTTTTTGTTTTACTTTAAGACTGGTTGACTGTTCTAATGAGTCGTCATGAACATCCCTATCAACAGCTACATTATAGTGGGAAATACACAGTTATACCGCTTTTGAATGATACATACTGTACATACATACAGCAGTGACTTTACCCCACTTAAGTAATGATTGTCATTGTTACTGTGTTTAATATTTCCAGCTGCAGAACATGGGCGTGAACCCCGCCAACATTGGGTTCAGCTATCTGACCATGGAGTCAGACAAGTTCATCTGCATCAGAGAGAAGGTGGGCGATCAGAACCAGGTGGTGATCGTGGACATGTCCGACCCCACCAACCCCATCAGGAGACCCATCTCTGCTGACAGCGCCATCATGAACCCCGCCAGCAAGGTCATCGCCTTGAAAGGTGAGAGCATGTATTGTGAGACCTACAGCAACACACCCAGACAGCCCCACCACTCACTATTACAGTAAATGAGAAATACTGTGTTGTTGTGAGAAAAAACCGTGCGCTGGTATAATTTATGGCTTTATACCAAGCACTGAGTTTTGAATTGTTGTTCAAATTCCCAGGATGAAGTGTGTGTCTAGTTCTTACATAATTAGCCATCTTTTAGTATTGCTGAGGGAATGCCATGGTCTTGCAATGACTAATGCTTTGATGACGCTGTGAATATGTAGAGTGCACTCAGATCTATTGCCTGAATGTACTAAGTTGGTTGTGCAAATTGATTTTCTGCACTTGATCTAGCTTGCATTTTGAGCACAAACACAAGCGCTGATCAGGATGATTTGCCTATAATGCTTCTCTGTCTCCTCCCCCTCCCTCTGAGGATTACATTCCCCCATTTGCCCTTTCCCTCTAGGCTATCTTTGTCTTGTCATTCTTACCTGATTGACACTTTTGCTTTTTCTCCCTTGCTTGCTGCCCTTTCTCAGACGGTGAGTTGCTTTTTGTCTGTCTGGCACTTTGTAATGTTGATACAGTAGCCATGTCTCTCATAATATCTTGCCACATACGCCTCTCAAGTATACAGATCTAATTTGAACACTTATCATTTAAAGGACAAACAACAGTTTAGAAATGACTCCTATTGCTAGTACATTTTAAGTATCAAGTCCCTGTACCAACCTTATCTGCTGGCACATATCCTTCTACTCCTATGATAAGAATACATGTGTTAGCATGACTTCTTGCAGTGCTTCTCAAAGTGTGGTCCGCGAGCGCCCCCTAGTGGTCCGTGAGTATATTGGTAACATTTCACATTTGAAATAAATAAATACATTTAAATTTTCCGCACTCTGGCGGGAATATCTCCGCAATGGAGCGAGGTTAAGTTAAGTTTCAATTGCATGATATAGCCCAGCGCAACACCTTCATCACACATGTTGCCACTTGTTTGTACCATTTTCAGGCGATTTGTAATCTGTTCTAGAAAAACGATGTGTTTTTTTTATATTTGTGGAGTTAGGTGGTCCGCGAGTGTTTTTTTATTGGTTAAGTGGTCCTTGGTATGAAAACGTTTGAGAAACCCTGACTTATTGTATTCTGCTGGAGTGTGAGTGTGTGTGGTATGCATCATCAGATGTTCCTCACTGAAAAGAGTTGTTTGTGTCTTTGCACGTCGGTTTGAGCGTGTGCCAGCAGCCATATCAGATCCTTCCCTAGTGCATATAAGGGATGCCATTAATGTACAGTCATCATAGCTGTGTGTGCTGATGGCAGTTTGTACAACAGTCACCTCACTCATACATTACTTTATACATTACCATTCACTTGTCTGTTTCTGTGTAAATTGAGGTTTGTAGCTGTAATTACCTTAGAGCTGCTATCTCCTTTCTGTAGCCAGAGGACAGCTGCACCCAGGCTGGTGTGTACAGAGGGATGCAACATTAGCCCAACAAACACCCATAACCAGAATAACAAAAAACAGACTTTCTCTGTCCTCTAGTTGTACCTAGCTATGCAGATTTGTTTTATTTGTATACATGTTTTACTAAAATCAAGGTTAATGTGTGCTCATGGGTAGTGTGTTCACCCACAAATTCATTCATAAATGTTGATTAAAAAAGTTATACGTTTTTTTCCGTAATTCTTTTAATACACGATACACAATAAAGTGGGTTGAATCTGCTTTTACTGTACTAAGAAAGATAGCCCATAATAAATAGTTAAGGGCACAGAAGAAACCTATTTCAGTAAAAAAAAAAACATATAATGATTTTGAGTACTAGTAGTTCTTATAAAAGCCCATAAAGCCAGTAATTACATTGATAGTTTGCAACCAGAATTAATTAAAATATCATTAATACATTATGCCTTTTTAAATACCCTCTGGGCTAAACTCTGTCTCACTTCCTCTCTGTTTCTTTATTTCCCTCAGCTGCCAAGACGCTGCAGATCTTCAACATCGAGATGAAGAGTAAGGTGAAGGCTCACACCATGACGGAGGAGGTCATGTTCTGGAAGTGGATATCGGTAAACACCGTTGCATTGGTCACAGATACGGCCGTCTATCACTGGAGCATGGAGGGGGATTCCCAGCCCACCAAAGTATTCGATCGGCACGCCAGTCTGGCCGGATGTCAGATCATTAACTACAGAACTGACGAACAACAGAAATGGCTACTGCTGATCGGGATTTCTGCACAGGTATGAATACACAGAGGGACATGCTTACTCACACAGTAGAAGTGCATTTGACAATACAATAGCATGATTTTTCCTCTCTGATCACTAATGTATAGCATCAAGGAACAAAAAGTCTGTCTCTCAGCTTTGTCCCTCTGTCCACAGTAACCCTGGTTTTTCACACTCTATAGATCAGGGGTACCCAAACTTTTTTGTTAAAGGTCCACTTGTGAATTTTATACAAGGTCAATGGTCCGGATCAATGCCAGTAAAGTCCCGGCAGCGTCAGAAAATAAAACCCTCTCTCTTTTCTTCCGTACCCAAATCTTTTAAAAACGGGTGTAAAACGAGCGGATACAGATTTTCTGACGTCAAATCGGCAGCGGACCCACAGGAGATTGCTATCAGAAACAATGCCTGACGTGTTTTGGACGTAATCTCGTCTTTGTTTACATTAGCAAGCCTTGCTAACACTCAAAGCTAACCTCTACTGAAGAGCACATGTGTTTTTAAAAAGCAGGAAATAAAAAAAGGAACTCACCTTGTGATAAACCTGCAAGAGAAAAAGCATTTGAGCTCCATACTGTTTCAGAGATAATCTTTGAAGTTAGAACAGGATGGCGTTTTAACACAGCAGAATTTAACTTTATCTCTGGTAGAATTCTGATCAGGCATTAGCTCCGCCTCCTCTTTTCTTTTTTTTTTAAGCTAAGGACCCAAAATCCGCGTTTCTCTAACAGGGCTGCAAAAGAGGGGTTTGAAAAGTATGAGGCATGGCTACAATGGGTGAACTGTTTGGTATTTTAAGCAAAAAACTTCACAGACATGTTTTGTATAGGTATGGCCCTACAATATATTATTCCAATATAGCATAATTAAAATAAAAAAAATGCATTTTTTTTTTTTATAATTTGCAGTTCGGTCCGGATCCGACCTTGGTCCGGAGTTTGAGAAGCCCTGGGATAATTCTCAATTTATTTTTTTGAGTTTCGTGGAAAATTATAAATTAACATTTAAAGGTGGGGGGTAGGTAATTTCGGAGAAACCAGCTTGAGTGGGCTAGAATTTGAAAATACACAACCGGAGAAAATCTGCCACTTCCTTACAGAGCCCCTCCTCCAACACACACGAACGCGCACATGACCAATGAGGGCACGAGATAAGTTTGTGCACAGATGGAAGGCTGACAGGCAGGTAGGCCATCCAGTTATTGTAGCCGGGCCGGCTCAGATGATTGGTCGTGCTTTTTACAGTACTACGGCTTCCAGAGGTGACATTTTTTCATGGATTTTTTGTCAAAGCAAAAAGATATTCATTGCTATCGGGATGTTAAGAGCATTCCATGGAATATAACAAAAGTGTATCTCGAGCCGGTTTCTCAAACTTACCTACCCCACCTTTAAAGTGATTTGTTTTATTGGGCAAAAACTGAAAACAATATTGTATTAGTTGATGCTTTAAAGAGGAAGATGATTGTTTGGATCTCATAGAAATAGTTTGACATTTTGAAAATACACTTATTCACTTGACTAGAGACCTATGGAAAATATGAAGTTGGATCCATAAGGCGCTTAGCTCAGCTTATCATAAGTCATGGAAATGGAGGAAAAAGGCTAGCATGGCTTTGTTCAAGGGGTACAAAAAGCCTCTGGGTACCTTTTACATTGACAAATAAACATGGTATGTCTCATTTGTTTACTCTGTACAAAAAGTGCAAAAACGACAAGTTGTGCTTTTTAAAGTTGATTTATATGCTGGACTATTTTTCTCTCATCATCGTGAGTTTGCCAGAAACGAGCAGAGACTTCAGGCTAGAATATTGATTTTCTTGTCTAACTCTCGACAAGCAATCGATTCAGCGCATTTCCCCTAATGCAGTGGTTCTCAAAGTGGGGGGCGCGCCCCCCCTGGGGGGCGCAGAGGCATGCCAGGGGGGGCGCGAGAGACCAGGAAGAAAAATGGTTATCAAAAAAAAAAAAAAAAAAATTACGTCTGGGTCTCTGTGTTTCATTAAAGCTCGGCTCTGTGTGTGTGTGTGGAACGAGCCATTTTGTGTGTGGGAGAGAGAGAGAGAGAGAGAGAGAGAGAGAGAGAGCGCACCGGTACTGGAGATCGTTGTTGTTAGCTTCTGGTGCTAGCGATCACGCTAACGGATATAAGGAGTTTTTTCAACAACAAAGTGGAGGAAAGTGCTCTCCTGTCAGACTGAGAGGCTCAGTGAACTAAAGGACTCTCTCAGTGTTATCTCAGTGGGTCTCAAACGTTTTGGTCACCATTAATGTAAACAATTATTTCCGAGGCACACGTTTATATGATCATTATAGTCATAAAAAAATAAGAGAATAAATAAAAAACAGGTATGAAATACTATATGACAGTAAAACAAGAAAAAATAAAGAAAAAGTAAATCTGTTTACAGTTCTGTTTCAAATGGGTGTTGAGAGATGTACTGTATCCATAGATCTCTTCATGTTGCTCTCAAAGTGCACCAGATTGATGCATTTAACTTCAATATTTAGAAATAAATCTTCCCGGGGGAGCTTGCCCCCGTGGTGGTGTGTGAGGTCCACATACCACCTATAAAAATAGCACTTTACCCCTGCTTACACCTATATGCCGTGAGCTGATTATCGAGCTTTCATTGTAACTGTCACACTGTGTATGTGCGTGTGGGGAGTGTTGCAGTAGAACATTCCACTGTAGCGCCCGGTACATTAATGGGAAACCCTAAATGTTTGAGCACCCTCTATGAAACATCAAGCTACCCCACACTACCCCTAAAATAAATCTCTGGCGCCGCCACTGAGCCTGACTATTTGTGTTGGGGGGGCCCGACTTTTTTTTTTCTCCAAAGGGGGGGCCTGACAGAAAAAGTTTGAGAACCACTGCCCTATTGTAACATTTTGCCTTTGAATGTTAATGACTTTACTCACTGCATCAATGATTTCTTTGACTCTGTGTCTCTTTGTCATGCAGCAAAACCGTGTGGTAGGGGCGATGCAGCTGTACTCTGTTGACAGGAAAGTGTCCCAGCCCATCGAGGGCCACGCTGCGGCCTTCGGGGAGTTCAAGGTGGAGGGAAATGCCAAAGCATCCACCCTCTTCTGCTTTGCTGTGCGCTCACAGGCTGGGGGAAAGGTGAGGGCCCCGAGACACGCAGGAATTTCACTCAGGACGATGTTATCACACTGTATTTGTCTGAACAAAGATATCTGATTTGCAGACAAAAGTTGTTATTTTTGTTAGGATTATAGGAAAACAATGTTTATACTTTGTGCTTTTTGGCCAGAATAGCTCCTTTTGTTGATGTTGCTGCTGTACTTTGGATGTCTGCCTAATGTGGTCATTTCTTTTCTCCAGTTGCACATCATTGAAGTTGGTCAGCCAGCTGCAGGAAACCAGCCATTTGCAAAGAAAGCAGTGGACGTGTTCTTCCCTCCAGAGGCCCAGACAGACTTTCCTGTTGCTATGCAGGTAGGGAAGGACCCCTGCTATGTATTGGTTTGGAGTAAGCTACAGGTGAATGCTTATCAAATCTCTCTCTCTGATTATTGTTTTCAGATTGGCAACAAGCATGGTGTAATATATTTGATCACAAAGTATGGTTACATTCACCTGTATGACCTGGAGTCTGGAGTCTGCATCTACATGAACCGAATCAGTGCAGAGACCATCTTTGTTACCGCCCCTCATGAAGCCACCTCAGGAATTATTGGGGTCAACAAGAAGGGACAGGTGAGAAACAAGAAGGCATTTTATTTACCGGCTTTATACAACATTAATAATAGACCTGCTTTGATGTTATGTTTAAATGTTATTCTGGCCTCAAAGAACCAATGTATTGAGCACTGTATGTTTATTGCTCTGTCTCCAGGTGTTGTCAGTGTGTGTTGAGGAGGAAAACATTGTCAACTATGCCACCAACGTCCTGCAGAATCCTGATCTAGCCTTGAGAATTGCTGTGAGGTCAAACCTCGCTGGGGCCGAGGAGATTTTTGACAGGAAGTTCAACACTCTGTTTGCACAGGGAAGTTATTCAGAGTCCGCAAAGGTTGCTGCATCAGCACCCAAGGTACGTCTGTATTTGCTGCTAAATTGTAGTGTTTGCACTTCTTATACATACCAGATGCTTTGGCAAAAAGTCAGAAACAACTGTACGAAACGGTGCTTGCACACATTTGTACTTTAAGTAGATACATTTTTGAATTTATCTGGTGATGATTTAGTTATACTCGCTGTAGTTCAGTATTGTAAAATATAAAACATAAACAAATATAAAGTAGGGCTGCTCGATTATGGCAAAAATCATAATCTCGATTATTTGGGTCAATAATTGATATCACGATTATTAAAAACGATTATCCATTTACTTTTAAAACATACATTTATTGGAGAACATTTTTTTTGAACAGTATGTTTTTAACAGTTGATTACCCTGAACTTTAAGCATAATTCAACTGAAAAACCAATAATAAAAAAAAAAGAAGTAATAATAATAATACAAAAATAATCGTTTTATTTCGATTACGTTGTTTTCGTAATCGTTGCAAGCCATAATCGTAATTGCGATTTAAAATACGATTAATTGAGCAGCCCTAATATAAAGGGTGTACTAATATTTTCCATACGCATTGTATATTGGTTTGTGGATATTCTGCAGAAAATGTAATAACATTTATATTCCTACTCTCTTAGTTTTTTCTACCCATAATTCCTCCATTGTTTACCACCCTTCCTCCCCTCAGGGTATCCTGAGGACAGCAGAGACCATCCGTAAGTTTCAGAGTGTCCCTGCCCAGCCCGGGCAGGCGTCTCCACTGCTGCAGTACTTTGGTATTCTGCTGGACCAAGGCCAGCTCAACAAGTTTGAGTCTCTGGAGCTGTGCAGGCCCGTCCTGCAGCAGGGCCGCAAACAGCTGCTGGAGAAATGGCTAAAGGAGGACAAGGTAGGACCAGAAGAATAGAACAACCTCACCTGTAAATCTGGCTTGTTCTCCACGTTGTATTAAATGTGCTTTCATATGTGCTGTAGCTTGAGTGCTCAGAGGAGCTGGGAGACCTGGTGAAGGCCTCTGACGCCACCCTCGCTCTCAGTGTGTACCTCAGAGCCAACGTCCCCAACAAGGTCATCCAGTGCTTCGCTGAGACGGGACAGTTCCAGAAGATAGTGTTGTACGCTAAAAAGGTAATCAAGGACTCAAATAACTTCTTCGCTCTTCAAGTCCTTCATTTAATTATGCATCAAAACATGTTTATTTCTGCATGTGAAAGAAACACTACATGATAATATTTTGCGGAAAACATATTGCGGTAGAATGTTAGTAGTCTAATTAAAAAAAGTTTGTATCATTAGTACAGAATATAATATTCGGTGTCTTAGTATGATTTCTATATAACCTTAAAAAGAGAAATGCATTTATTATCTGCTTTATCAATGGTACTTTTGTAGGTGGCCTACACCCCAGACTGGGTGTTTTTGCTGAGAAATGTGATGCGTGTCAACCCAGACCAGGGACTGCAGTTCGCCCAGATGCTGGTGCAGGACGAGGAGCCGCTGGCCAACATCAACCAGGTAACACACAGAACAGCTGATGGTCTCACTCAGACATACTGAGTCACTTCCACCTTTTTATAGCATGTCTACAATCACACTCAAACACAACGTCCAGTGTGGGAGCTTCCATCTGTTTTTCCAGATGTGCCAACAATGCCAGAAATTCCCTGCCTCTTAATCTGGACTAGAGAACTTGACACGACATCCACAGATGTCCTTAAATAAGGAAAGCTGAAACATCTGGCTACTGGGCCTGTGATTCCTAATAGTGTGTGACTCTTATCTCACCATGCATGCTAACTCATTCACAGATGGGAGGAATTCAAAAATCTCATATTTTCCCTTACTTTGTTGTTTATTTCATTTTCTCTTCTACCTCTTGCCTATTGCTAGATTGTAGATGTGTTCATGGAGGGAAACCTGATCCAGCAGTGCACCTCCTTCCTGTTGGATGCACTAAAGAACAACCGCCCGGCCGAAGGACACTTACAGACACGCCTGCTTGAGATGAACCTCATACATGCTCCCCAGGTACCAAAATCTCTGCCCTGATTGAAGAAAACAACTTCACCTTTGGTAATATAAAACACAATTAGTATTTTCATGCGTGTATAAACCTTTTTCAGGTAGCAGATGCGATCCTGGGGAACCAGATGTTTACCCACTATGACCGTGCCCACGTTGCTCAGCTGTGTGAGAAGGCAGGACTGCTGCAGAGGGCTCTTGAACACTTCACAGACCTGTATGATATCAAACGGGCCGTGGTGCACACACATCTGCTCAACCCTGAGGTACGCCTGTGGTTGTTGGGTCACACCTGTGAATATCGCTCTCTCTGGAGCAGCGACTTTTCATTTGTTTTTTAGATGATGTGTGAAAATGACCTCCATCCTCCCTTCTTGCCCTGCTGTTTCACTTTCTCCTTAGTGGCTGGTAAACTTCTTTGGATCTTTATCAGTGGAAGACTCGCTGGAGTGTTTAAGGGCCATGTTGTCGGCTAACATCAGGCAGAACCTGCAGCTGAGTGTCCAGGTAGCGTCTAAGTATCATGAGCAGCTCGGGACCCAGTCCTTAGTGGAGCTCTTTGAATCCTTCAAGAGTTATGAGGGTAGGTGTCACATGTGGGTGAGGGTTGGGGGGCAGCTCTCGGTCATGTTGAATGTGTTGAATTCAGGTTTAACTCCATTGTAGACTGAGCTGACTTTTCTGCTGTTTCTCCTCTGCCATCTCTATTCAAGGCTTGTTTTACTTCCTTGGGTCGATTGTGAATTTCAGCCAGGAGCCTGATGTTCATTTTAAGTACATCCAGGCTGCCTGCAAAACAGGCCAGATCAAAGAAGTGGAGAGAATCTGTAGAGAGAGCAACTGCTACGACCCGGAGAGGGTTAAAAACTTCCTCAAGGTACAAAGATGTCAAAAATGTTTATGATTGATTTGATCTTTCAGCAGAAATTCAAAAAAATCAGTTTTTAAAATATTTTTTTAACCACAAATGAACCTTCTTTCTTCTCTTCGTAGGAGGCCAAGCTGACAGACCAGCTTCCTCTCATCATTGTGTGTGATCGCTTTGACTTCGTCCATGACCTGGTGCTCTACCTCTACCGCAACAATCTGCAGAAATACATTGAAATCTACGTACAGAAAGTAAGATCACTACTTTATACCTATCTGGTTTTCCACTCAATCTTTATTTGGGCTGTCTGTATTTAGAATGTGTTGCACTTGTTTTCAGGTGAACCCCAGTCGTTTACCGGTGGTGATAGGCGGCCTGTTGGATGTGGACTGTGCCGAGGACGTCATTAAGAACCTGATCATGGTGGTCAGAGGGCAATTTTCCACTGATGAGTTGGTGGAGGAAGTAGAGAAGAGGAACCGGTAGGACCAAAATATGAATGGCTTCCTCTATTTCTTGTTCATTTTTGTTGCAACTGATTACTACTTGTGACTTTGTGTTGCATATTTATTTGTCTCTGTAGGTACCTGTAGGTACCTGATAGATGTTTAACCAAACCTCTTTAAAAGGACCAGCTCCAGAAACAGCATGAGAGAGATTAATGATCTGCAAGTCACAGTAGAAAGAACATGTTAATAATGACTTGAAAATAAAAATATCTTTAAAAATAAATATTGAGATAATCAGAAGAAATTACGTTAAAGACAATGCTAGCAGAAATTGAAATATGTAATAGCTGATATACATTTATAAAACACCAAATGCATCTACATTCAAAGAAAAGACAGGGGGGACTGAAATATGTGAATACGTAAATATGAGGCAAAATACAGCGTTTTTATTTGGCTCTTTATCACTCAGCAGTTTCTGCACTACAGAAGATGTAACGTATATTTTTTTAAAGCACAAAAGGTACTTCCAAATCTTTACAGACATTAAGTGGCCTGTGTTTAAAGCAGACGCCTCTAATAATGCTAAGAAAATGATACCTTCCTTATCCAGTGAAGCTACTTTCACTGTAATATATGACTCTGTACTAGAACGTGAATACGGGAGATTGTGAACATGAATACAGCATGACTGAACACTGCCATCTAGTTCTGTGTCAGTGCAAATACACTCCAGAAACAGTAACTATCTGACATCACCCCAGAGATATTACTCAGGCTTTATACCACCAGGAAGAAGGGATATCCAATATTACTGCATGTTAGTTAATATATTTGTATAAATGCTGTGTATTATATGTAGATGATATTTAAAAACAGTGTGCTATCTTCTTAGGTTAAAACTTCTATTGCCATGGCTGGAGTCCCGTATTCATGATGGATGCGAGGAGCCGGCTACCCACAATGCCCTGGCCAAGATCTACATCGACAGCAACAACACACCTGAGCGCTTCCTGAAGGAGAACACGTTCTACGACAGCGCCGTGGTCGGGAAATACTGCGAGAAGAGAGACCCCCACCTGGCCTGTGTGGCGTATGAGAGAGGAGAGTGTGACCTGGATCTCATCAAAGTGTGTGGATCACGTTATGTATCATTTAGATAATGCATCATTCTAATATAGATCAATCTTCCACAAATGTACATGTTTTTTTTCTCAGGTGTGCAACGAGAACTCCTTATTCAAGAGTGAGGCTCGATATCTGGTGCGAAGGAAAGATCCCGAGCTATGGGCGAATGTTTTGGAGGAAGACAACCCCTTCAGAAGACAGCTAATCGACCAGGTTAGATATCGTCCAGCTGTAATCCTGAAGTGATGCAGGATATAAATGAGTGGTATTCCAAAGTTTATTTTTGAACTCCTACTCCTCTCAGGTGGTGCAGACAGCGCTGTCGGAGACCCAGGACCCAGAGGAGGTCTCGGTCACAGTTAAGGCCTTCATGACGGCAGACCTGCCGAACGAGCTGATTGAACTTCTGGAGAAGATTGTTCTAGATAACTCTGTCTTCAGTGAGCACAGGTACAGCAGGCATGCAGCTCGCAGCATACAAATGTAACCCTAATACTTTCTTCTTTTTAAAAATCCTCTCTGCATCTATGGTATTTTTTCAGAAATCTCCAGAACCTGCTCATTTTGACGGCCATCAAAGCCGATCGCACTCGTGTGATGGAGTACATCAACAAGCTAGACAACTACGACGCTCCAGACATTGCTAATATTGCCATCAGCAATGAGCTCTTTGAAGAAGCGTTTGCCATTTTCAAGAAATTTGATGTTAACACATCAGCCATACAGGTACACAAGAATGTATACACAAATAGTATTAGTAAAGTTCCAAAAACAGTAATTGTATTTGGTAAAGTTGAGATTTAATCAGAGTTTTTCTTTTATTTGACATTCAATACTATTAAAAAACATTATGTGTATGTTATGTTTATGGTTTGAATGTATTTTGATCACATTTTCTGTTATTCTGTAAGGATTTTCCTGTCTTACTTTCCTTTTTAGCAGTTAAGGCCATTATTGTATTGATCTTTTTTTGTAAAACAGGTAAATTCATTTGAAAATGTTTAATATTTAGAATCAGTTTTAGGAATTGATGCTGCAGATTGTATCAGTGTATCTCTTAACTACTGTTTAGTGACATCAACTCTTATTGCTGTAAATCAATCTGAAAATATAAATGTTCAAACAATATTATTCATTGTGTTTTATCTCCTGTCTCCAGGTATTGATAGAGCACATAGGGAACTTGGATCGTGCCTATGAGTTTGCTGAGCGCTGTAATGAGCCCGCGGTGTGGAGCCAGTTAGCCAGAGCTCAGCTGCAGAGGGATCTGGTGAAGGAGGCCATCGACTCGTATATCAAAGCCGTTGACCCTTCAGCTTACATGGAGGTGGTCAACGCAGCCAGCAAGAACAGTAAGCCTTCGCTCTGCAGCACAGTTACCTCTGATCGTCTCTCCTGTGCGAGTTGATTTCTGAATTGTTGTGTTTTACAGATAACTGGGAAGACTTGGTCAAATTCCTCCAGATGGCTCGAAAGAAAGCGAGAGAGTCGTATGTAGAGACAGAGCTGATCTTTGCTTTAGCTAAAACAAACCGTCTGGCAGAGCTGGAGGAGTTTGTCAGTGGGCCCAACAATGCTCACATTCAGCAGGTAAGAAACACTTCACAGTGTTGAGAGGAAAGATAAATGCATGTTGTTCTTTCCCGTACTCTAGCTTGTAACATCATATATCTGAAAATGTCTCCCTCTCTTTCTACAGGTGGGTGATAGATGTTATGATGAGGGCATGTACGACGCAGCCAAGCTCCTGTACAACAATGTTTCCAACTTCGCTCGCCTCGCATCGACGCTCGTCCACCTCGGGGAGTACCAGGCGGCTGTGGACAGCGGCAGGAAGGCCAACAGCACACGGACGTGGAAGGAGGTACCTGGCACACAAACACCTTTAACCTCTGTTCAATAAGCTGTTGTCTCAGCTCTTCTTTTGATCACTTTTATTTTTTCTTAACATTAAGATATATTCAGTTGTTGGCAGGGCTGTCAAACTCAATGTCATCGCAGGCCACTTTAGCATTATGGTTGCACTCAAAGGGCTGGTTGTAACTTTAAGACTATATAAATATACATATATAAATAAAATAATGTATTATATTGTATTATTGCCTCTGCATTGGATTATTATCAGATAGGGTAATAACTAATTGCAAGTCTCTTCAGTGCGCATGTCACAAAATGAGATGCATTGTGGGGCATGTAGTTTATGGGCAACGTGCTTCTGTAAAGCGGCATGTAACCGTATAATAGACGTATTATATTCTTTACAAGCTCTTGCGGGCCACATAAAATGAGTTTTAACACCCCTGCTTTATGGTCTAAGATACTTATTTATAAGTATATAGACAAAAGACTTCAGAAACCTCCTCTCTTCGATTTACAGGTGTGTTTCGCGTGTGTGGATGGCGAGGAGTTCCGGTTGGCACAAATCTGCGGCCTCCACATTGTGATCCACGCTGACGAGCTGGAGGACCTGATCAGCTACTATCAGGACCGTGCATACTTCGAGGAGCTCATCGCTCTGCTGGAGGCTGCGCTGGGCCTGGAGCGCGCCCACATGGGCATGTTCACAGAGCTCGCCATCCTCTACTCAAAGTTCAAACCTCAGAAGATGAGGGAGCACCTCGAGCTCTTCTGGTCCAGAGTCAACATCCCAAAGGTAGATTTTGTTTGAGTGTCTATGTGTTTTAAAAATAAGTGGAGGCTGCTTGTGAGTCGTGAACTATTTGCTTCTTCCCCGCACCCTAGAAAGAAAGTAATAGTGAGCACTAAGACACTTTGAGTTGCTTTTCTCTGCTTTTTTTAGATATTTATCTACAGATATATCGGAATAGGGACATTCTTTTAAGATGCTAAAATTTTCATTCAGGTGGTCAAAAGTCTGTGTACCGTTTTACTGATTTTCAAGAACCTTTTGAAAGATTACAGACAAGTTTTTCAATTAAATTTGCCTATTACAAAATCATACTCACACGGTCTCTTGTTGTGATAAGTAATGAGTTAAAATAAATAGATAAATGCTGTCTAATTTGTCAGATCTAGTTAGGTGTTCAAAAGTATTTAAAGACTTTTTTGAAAATAGTATATATATACTGTTATTTATTTCAAGAAATTTCAGATTTTAGTGCGTGAATTTAAGCAAACAAACACAAATGTATTACTTGACAGTAATGAATGAGTGCTTCAATTACCTCAAGGGCTTTGAAATGATGTTTCTGTGTTTGTCAGGTCCTTCGTGCAGCAGAGCAGGCTCATCTATGGGCAGAGCTGGTGTTCCTTTACGATAAATATGAGGAGTTTGATAATGCCGCAATCACAATGATGTCTCATGCCACAGATGCGTGGAAAGAAGGGCCGTTCAAGGACATTATTGCTAAGGTAAAAAATGTGTTGTGACTGAACATTTAATTTCCCTTTTTCATTGTCTTTACATCTTATCATCTTTATTATGTTTTCTAATCATATTTTTTTTTTCTCGTCAGGTTGCCAATGTTGAGCTGTACTATAAATCTCTTTCCTTTTACCTGGAATATAAACCCCTCCTAATTAATGACCTGCTGACCATCCTGTCTCCGCGGTTGGACCACAGCCGAGCTGTCACCTTTTTCAGCAAGGTAACCAGCGACGAGGTCAACCTCTGTCAGCCAAATCTTCTGTATTTGTTTACCTTTTGTACGCTGTACGTAACACAGTTGACATGATTTGGGTTATTTCTGCTCGACTAGATGAACCAGCTGAAGTTGGTCAAGCCTTACCTGAGGTCTGTCCAGAGTCACAACAACAAGTCCGTCAACGAAGCCCTCAACAACCTGCTGACAGACGAGGAAGACTTCCAGGTCTCTCAGCTTTTCTTTTTATTGACACTTGAAATAGAAAATATCCTTAAATCATATAGAGATATTAGAACATGACCAAACCTCAGGAAGAAGAAAACAAAACCTAATAAACATCTATAATTGTTAAACATTTCAAAAACACTTAATAATGACAGTAAATGTTATTAAAAGTTCCTAAAAAATAAAAGGAAAACTTATCCTTGATGCATTACCCACATACAACGATCTGTTATGAATTCATCCAACTTCCTGAAATGATTGTGTTCACTATCTGGGTTAATTGCACAGTTCTTCAGTGTTCCTTCCTTTTATTTGATGCATCGAACATAATATGGAAAATCCATACATTCAGGCACACAGTCATGAATGTGTCAGTTTACTCAAAAGTGGTCAAAAGGTTGGAACCCACTGTTGTACATGCCTTTCGAAATTATTAAATGTATACAGTACTGCAGAAACTAAAGCTCCTTTGGTCACTAGGTGGCACTGACTGGCATCACTTTGTTTTAATCCGTGGTGTAATATTTGTTTTGTTCTGTGTAATTCACAGGGCCTGAGAGCATCCATTGATGCCTATGATCACTTTGACACCATTGACCTGGCGCAGAGGTTAGAGAAACATGAGCTGATTGAGTTCAGGCGCATCGCAGCGTACCTATACAAAGGCAACAACCGCTGGAGACAGAGTGTGGAGCTCTGCAAGCAGGACAAACTCTACAAGGTAATGAACATGTTTGAGAAAAGCATTTTCATGTGCTTTCAAACTTTCATTAAGGCTTTAATAATAAAAATGATTAAACTGTATTTCTGTTTTTCCCAGGATGCCATGCTGTACGCCGCAGAGTCTAAGGACGCAGAGCTGGCAGAGACCCTGCTCCAGTGGTTCCTGGAGGAGGACAGGAAGGAGTGCTTCGCAGCCTGCCTGTTCGCCTCCTACGACCTGCTGCACCCGGACGTGGTGCTGGAGCTGGCCTGGAGGAACAACATCATGGACTTTGCCATGCCGTACTTCATCCAAGTCATGAGAGAGTACATGACAAAGGTTAGTAATCAACAGAAAAACCGTCAACAGAGTTGTTGTTCTTCATATTTTTAGCATCTTCTATATCATAAAATCAAGTTTACTTAGTGTATTTTTTTTAGAGGAAACAAATTTTAAATTCTGCATTTTGACTGTACTAAAATATATTTATTTTTCTTAGATGGACAATAGTCTGTAACATTCCCTGCAGGTATTAAGAACCAGGTCATACTACAGTATGAGTTTAATCTAAACAGATATAGCTTTCTTAAAGGCAGGATGAGTGGGATTTTCCTAAAAAACTGAAACAAAACAAAGACCCTGCTGCCATCTTCCTGTATTTTACCTTTTGAATAGGTTAGTTACCGTTACCATGTTGTGAGCACACATCCAACAGGAACCTAGGAAATGGCAGATACTGCAGAAAAAACAAAAAACAAACATTAGATATCTCAGAGGAGGTACGCATGAGGAGCCAACTTTGAATGTTGTGTCTGCAAACTACGCAAAGGACAAATCCTTCTCCATCTGCCTTTAATAGTAGTGAAGTATATTTGCCAGTGAACTCCCTCTGGTCCCGATGATTTTCTAAAATGCTGACCTGTAGACATGAGAGGTCACTTGAGGTCATCTCTTTGGGTTCTCTTCCAGGTTGATGAGTTTGCAGCGAAGGTGACGGTCTCTGGCCCTCTTTTTTATTTCTCCTTTGTGTTCTGTCTGTTTTTGTTGTAACTTATCTCTTAGGTTTCTGATGTAGGAACCTAGCATGGACTGTAGACTGAGTACGGCCTCACTAGCTCTGGTCTTGGAGAGCTGTAGTGGTTTGTGCAGGCTTTTGTTCCACTTCAGCACCAACACAATACGTTTTACATTTTGAGTATACCTGTATAGAGGCAGTTTCTAAATTATCCACCTGGGGTACGTCATTGTCTCAGTTGTATTGCTAATGAATGTTAAAACTAAGGCTTTAATTAGTGATGCAGAAACAAGCTAATGAAAATATGAATAACAGAGTCAACAGTTGGATTAGAGCAGTTTCTGACTCAGATTGGATATATGAATTGATAGACTATAAGGTTTAAAGAAGCACTATATCAATATTTATATGATAACAATGGAAATAATTGCACTAGTTTGGTACGTTTTAAACTTTTCCCTTTGAGCTCCTAACTGGCCTTCATTTTATCATCAATGGACGAACAGACCTCTCCAGATTGTCGTAGTATCCAGGAGGTTTAATGTGGTATAAGGAAACGTCTAAGAGCTGCTGTGTTGATGGCTGGAGCCAAAGCCTGTGCACCATCTTGTTCTTCAGGATTAGTCGGTCCTGCCCTAACAGAAACCTCTCTCACCCTCTAACTCCTCTCTCTTGGGGCTGCATCTAGTGTTAAGTAGCATTCATTAAATCCTGCCAACTTCAGTTGTGCTGATGCAAAAGATTGATGATATGGCACAATATAGAGTAATACAAGGAACACAGTGATTTTCCCTCCTGGCTAATGCTTTATAAATATCAGGAGAGCGAGCCACTGTTAACTTGTTAGATGCATCCCCATGTTTCTAACTCCTGGTTAACAAGTGTTGGTTTAAAGTATGTACCTGTTATTTAAATGCAGGGCTTCAAACACTAACTAACGTTTATGGAGTGCCCTTTCCTCTTTCTGTCTCTGGGAAAAGAATACGTATTTCTTTGCTAGTAGTGGCCATTCAGGAAGTGAAATACCAACTTCTTGTACATTGAAGTTTTCAATCATATACTAGGAGACAGAGTTTAAGTTGTACCAACATTTTGTTGTTAGTCTCACTGTTGGAAATCAACAAGCAGCATAGCAAAATAATATTTTGTTTTATGATACAATCATATCAATTTAGATTGGATGTATTTGGATTGGACTGTATTTCAAATCTGCGTTTTAAACATTATTATTTATTATCACTCCATATAATAATTTGTTATAATGTATAGAAAAGTGATTCACAATGCAAGTGCTGTTTTACCAGTTCAGTCCTTTTAGTTTTTTCCCCTCATCTTTCGAAATGATGACTAAACAGAAATGAACTGATATTTGTTCTATTCAGCTGCCTCAACAGTTGAAGCAAAATGCCTGATTGATTTGCACTTAGTGGGTAGGACTATTGGCACTACAACAATGTCACTGCCCAAACACTGATGCCTGGCACAGATCAGCCTAACCTATAAGCTTCTTACACGTAGCTAGCAATCCGGCAGAATGACATATTCTAAATGTAGTTCTGTTTGTAGCCTTTATTTAACCAGGTGAGTTCTGTCTGGAGGGCCTGCGCACAGGATGCATGTGGAAGCTGTGATTGTCCTTTATTGATATGGGATTGTTAACTGGGAATGTCTGAAATGTAGCATCAGCACATACTGTAGGCATGTATAGCTTCTCCTTTACTTAATACAAAATGTAATATTTCTTTAACCTTGAGTCCCACCACTATTGTTTTACTTTTAAAGGGTCAGTTTACACACAAAAACAAAACTATCTCCCCCAGGGGTATCTAGCCACGAAGCCATGATGTAGATTTGGTTTTATTTGCTGAGTTTTAAAGGTACATGCCGATGCTTTATTTCTGTTGCTCAAAACAAAATAAAATTTAAATTAGGTAAATAAAAAGCATTAAATGACCAGATATGATGTCCTTGCTATCTATCTTGTTATTTATAATATCCCACATACCTTGTAAACTTTTTTCACTAACGACTATTTTCATTTGAGTGTATAAAATAGTGACGACTGTTGATAATGAAGTCTGTGAACTTTTTATGATAAAAACAGACATCCTATCTGGAAAAAGACATTGCTTTGGAGTTCACATTTTTCAGTGCTTCAAGTAACATTTTATTCCACTTGATTGAATTAGGGTGATCGTAGTAATTAAGTCTCAGCAGTCACTATCTGCCTGGTATGATACCACTAGGGGTTAAGTAGTTATTTGTTTTTTGTGACTGGGGTGAACGGGCCCTTTAATTGTTGAATTAACATTTCTACTGGAAGCTGTTTTAAAATGTCTCACCAAACCTGCATGGCATCTTCTCTCAGGTAACCTGCACTGTGGAGTTTCTGTGTGTAGTTTGTCTAGAAGTTGATATGATACATCTACAGTGTTAACAAACATATTCATCACTATTTGTTTTTTGAAATGAAAGAGAACTTTAGTCTTACTGCTGAAGCATTTAGAGTTTAGGGTATATTGCGGGACATTAAATATATTCTTGTAAAAAAAAAAACAGACACACTGTGATCATACATATACATTATGTATTATACGTACATTAATATAAATATATTTTTGTATTGAAAGCTGGCATTGTTTTGTCTCATGCTACCAATAGGACAGGGGATATAATCTGACATTTGTATTTAGTTTACAGACTGCAAAGCAAAGTACATGGGGTCACAAGGTTTCTGTAGGACACCTTTTAATATATTAAATCAGACTGTCTTATGAGTTATACTCGTCTGAGCTATCCTCTTTTTTTGCCAGGTGGACGAACTGGAGGAGGCAGACAGCCAAAGGAAAACTGAAGAGGAGGTGACAGAGCCTCAGCCCATAGTGTTCGGTAAGTTAACCAGAGGGTTGAGATTTCTAAATAGGAGAAAATGGCCTGCAGTTTTTTTTTGGAATAAGCCCAACTGTCTGTAAAAGACTTGGTGGAAAATGGCTGTTGGATTTGAAATGTAACACTACCCAAACACATACTGATTGGATGAAGGTGAATGAACTGAAACTTTAAGCACATAGCCAAAAACGTTATCGTCGTTGTTGTCAAACTTTGACCATTTTTCGCACATTTAATTAAAACCAGACAGACGGAGGAGATCTGTCATTTAACTAAACAACCTTTTGTCAAATTAGTTTACGCCACACAATTATTCAAATTATTTCATTTGAAATTTGCCCTAGGAAAGTTTACTGATAACAAACACAGACACCTGTTTGTATTTAAACCATCAGCAAATTCAGTATGGGCTTTTATCCTATGATATTTTTCTTCATGAAAACAATTTAAACACATCATCTGGGAAAATCAGGACAAGGGCATGGCTTGTGCCCAAAAGTAGATTTGTTAGTAAATCATAATTTTTGGGATTATTTTCCACATAATGGCCATGTTACAAACAAAGAAAACCCTAATGACAAAGACATCAGTATTGGTAACAAAATTACTAAAAAACTCTTTGACAAATGATATCTAAAGCAACATGCATACACTTGTCCAAAAGTTGAGATCTCGTCTATTAGCATGTAACCCTGTGTGTGTGTGTGTGTGTGTGTGTGTGTGTGTGTGTGTGTGTGTGTGTGTGTGTGTGTGTGTGTGTGTGTGTGTGTGTGTGTGTGTGTGTGTGTGTGTGTGTGTGTGTGTGTGTGTGTGTGTGTGTGTGTGTGTGTGTGTGTGTGTGTGTGTGTGTGTGTGTGTGTGTGTGTGTGTGTGTGTGTGTGTGTGTGTGTGTGTGTGTGTGTGGTGTGTGTGTGTGTGTGTGTGTGTGTGTGTGTGTGTGTGTGTGTGTGTGTGTGTGTGTGTGTGTGTGTGTGTGTGTGTGTGTGTGTGTGTGTAGGCCAGCAGCTGATGTTGCCTGCCTCTCCTGCTCCGGTGGCTGCCCAGCCGCCGTACCCAGGCTACGGTTACCCAGCTGCCCCGGCGGGCTTCCCTGCTCAGCCTGCCTACGGCTACAACATGTAGAGGCTTAACCCCGCCTCGTCCACCCCTCTCCCCTGCACATACTCACACACCTTGGACCTAAACCACACTGAACCGTGCTGCTCTGGGTCTCAATTGGCAGCACGGAGACCCCTGAAACTGACCTGGTCCTTCATTCCCAATGAGACTGAAACTGCAATATAAATCCATCATCTCTACTTCTCCACACATACTGCAGAACGACCCGCTCTTACAAGATTGCTGTACCCTCCCCCCCCTTTCTTTTTTCCACATGGACAGTATAATTGCATCCCTGATCTACACAGCATGAAGTCACCTCTCAGCTTCTAGAGGAATTAACACACCGAAGAAAATACGAGTCACACTAAACCACCTGTTGCTGTTCCATATAGACTTTATTAACAATAGAGCTACTTTATTTTCAAAAAGATTCAGCACTGATGAGGAAGAGACTTGTTACCGAGGAGAGGAGGGGGCTTGGGTGTGTCTCCCTGGTCCCTTCTATAGCACTGCTACGGCCTTATTTACTTTGAGGAGGCTGCAAAAAAACTGGCTCATTTGTTCATGTTAAATTTCACAACTGTCTCATGCTCTGGTTAGACAGATGGTTACTGTGCAATAGTTTTGTTTGTCTTCTCACAACAGTTACACAAGTGTTTGCTGTATATGGACTGAGAACACTTGTTTATGAGGTTATGATACTGTCTGTGGATGTGTGTGTGTGAGTGTGTAATGTAGCCTCTAAAGCATTTGAGGGATACGTCAACAAACCAAGAGACACTCAATGAAATGTCCATCACCTGCAAACCTTTCAGAGCTGTTGATTGTGTCCATCGACTTTTTGGACTGCGGACATCTGGATTTCCAGTATGCTTGTGACAACAAGAAAGAGGAAAGAAAGAAGGTGAAATAATAATAAAAAAATGCTATATGCTGTAGTCTGTGCATGTGCTGCCAAACTATAATGCTGCAACCAGGAGCACAATTTTCATGTTGCATATATCAAGTATTACTAATGTTGTGTGTGACGTTATATGAAACTTTCTCACCCGACTAACAGAAAGCGGTGATGAAGCTCCTACAGACTCGAGTAAATGAAAACGCTGGATCATTAGCTCACATCCTGGTGCCAGTTGGTTCACAAAAATAATCATTATTGTACTGAAAACTGTATAATTTAAGCTATATTGAAATACCTAACTAATCAAAGAAGTCAGATATTATGGAATACCGTATGTATTGTCTATAGTGTGTTGTTGTAGTCTCAAAAAGCATAATGATTTTTTGTAAGAAAATGACAAAATGCAAAAACAGCAGGTTAATAAATGGCAAAGTCTTGAGGCAAGGCTGCTCAAAGTGACAGTTTAGTTGATTGTTTACTTCCACTGCTTTCCGATACACTGAGGTCTGTCCCAACGTGGTGTCAACTTTGGATTTGTCAAAGCAAAAGCTGCACACGACTGACTCCCTTTATCTGCACAAATCGAGCATACAGAAAGAGGAATAAAGTTTAGTGTTGGTGCATTTTTTAAATTCCTTCACATTTTAGGAAATATTAACAAGCTCTCTGTTGGTTTCAATGTCTATGTTTTGTGTTTCTGGAGGTGTGAACAGCTGGGAACATTTATGCCATGGTTTCTTTTGCTGCACCCTTTTTCCATCCCTTGCTACACTGACATTTTGGTTACCAAGCTGCCAAGACCCGATTGATGGTTTCTGTGTGTCTTTGTTCAGAGGGGGTGTGGTCAGGCTGTCTCGACCTATCACTGGCTGCTGTTGGGAAAACACGGAAGGTTTTGGTAGTAAAATATGTAATAACAGGGGAAACCGATTTTATTCTCCCTCTCTGAGCTGCATTTAAATGGTAATGTAAACCCTGAGAGGCTGTGCGCCACCCTTTTTCTGTGGTGGAATAAAGGTGGCCAGTCTCGTCTCCTCTCACCCCCTGACCCCTGTCAGTCGCACTACAGGCTTGTTGAAATTCACTTTTGTATACGCGGCAGATACGGAGAAACTGCTCCGGCCGCGCCTTCTTGCTTCCGGGTTGCTTTGCTCTCCCCTACGCGCTTCAGTCGTGATACAGCGTTAGTTACCATGGCCACACATCGCAGATATTGGCTATAGAAGATCCCAACTTCCTTGATAGTCCCGGGTTCCGCCCACTGTCAGCAGATCAGCTGGAAGCTCCGCTCATCACCGGCATCAGAAGCGCACCAGACAGCATCCGTCCATGTGTTGCGCGCTCCAGCCTACTTGGAAAAACACACTGCAAGCTACCTAATAGAAGAAAAACATCACAAGACTAGATTTCTAGATATTACTGTTCATTTTCCCGTCATCATGCAGGGTAGAGGCACATTTATCAGCCCTTTCCCCAGACCCCGGTGTCTGGCGGCCGCGGCTCCGGCGGGGAAAGCCAAACTGACCCACCCGGGGAAAGCCATCCTGGCAGGTAAGTTAATTAATTGTCAAGCGGAAAAGTCCGAGTTGGACAAAATGTCACCGGTTAGAATGCTGGGTGATTATAACTTTATTGTAATTATTGTTGAATATAGTCATCTGTGAAATTATGTTGCAACAATAATGCATACTGAAAATATCTATGAAGGCAAAACAGGTAACCATTCAAACTGGACTAACTTAATGGTAACTTCATGTAGTCACACCTAAAGAAAGTCATGTAAGGTCAGCCATTTTTTTGTTATTTTGCACAAACAGGTTTTCATTTGTAAAATTATAAACGTGATGTTAGTTATTTATTACGACTGTGCAGACGTTTTTTTTCTCCCCATTTCGTTTTTATCTCGAGTCTGTTTGGCTGCACGGATCACATCCAAGGCGTTTCTCTTCCTTAATGACACGTTTCACTTTAGTTAGTGGAGCTGCACAGAGGAAGTATGTGAGAGCTGCAAAACATGTTTCTCAAGATAAACGATGAGCTGTAAAACGAGGTATTTTAACAGTAATACTTGATCTTCCACCAATTTCTGATTCTGACCCTTGAAGCAGTTGTAAAAGAAAAATATTTTTAAGAGCTTATTGCCCCAAGAAAAACAAGAGTTTTCTTACTGACAGTGCCAGAGGCAGATCTTACCTGCAGCACTGATGTGATTGTATCCATCTAATCTAGATCACCTCCAATGCACTTTACGTAATGGTATTAGAGTGGTTTGATGCATGCAGCAGTGTAGGGGACACTTTCTCCTGAGACAAGCACTAGAGCCATTTAAACAATGTCTCATGTATGAAGGTGAGCGAGAGGACAGACCTTTAATGTTAAGCATTTCTCTTGATATGATTTTCAGAATTTTCCTGGAATTGTACATTCAAATATACATTTCTTTAGAGACTTCAACCAAATTAATCTCTACCATAACTGATCGCAATCCATTTTTTTCTGGTGTACATAATGTTATATAAGATCTAAAAGTCCCTGAGCAGCTAATGAATAGACGTAGTTGGATTACTTTCTCAAATATAAATGATGTGCTGTAGTCTCCAGAAAATTCTGCAACTGGAAAAACAAAAATGTTCCTCACAACAATCATTTAAATAGAATATAATGGGTTAACTCTATAGTCAATAAAATGTCCAAAAATATTGATATGATGTACCCAGAGAGTGACCAGGCTTTCTTAGTTTGACAGCTTGAAAAAAAACCCACATAATTTATGATTGTATATAATATGAAACAGAATATTAAAACAATCTATGAACTGAAGCTGCACATTCAACTAATATTAAGTAAAACATTTTAACAAATCTATGAATTGACTTTTTGGTTTAGCACAAGCTGATGCTTGTTTTAGACATCAATCAATCAATCAATGTTTATTTATATAGCCCAATATACCTGCTTCATCAGTTTATCCCCGCTGAGGTTCAGACTCTCCTCCCCTGCTGCTCTCCCCCCCCCCCCCCCCCCCCTTGTGTTGATGATCGGGTGCAGCAGATCCGTTGATGAAGCGCTTCACAGAGATGCTGCTGTATTAAGGCCACATGCTGATATTTGGCTGCACTCTGTTGATTTCAGTCTTGTTTTCTGGCACCAGATACATCCTGAATATTTTATTGTTTTGAATTAATTACTAAGATTGAAAAAAACTATTTAAAGCTGCAACTTACAGTTATTTTAGTTTTCTGCCGTTACTGGTTTTTTCATCAATTGAATTGTTGGAACCAAAAGTCAGAAAAAAGTCAAAATGCCTGCATGAGTCCTCTGAACCGAAAGGGACATCTTTAAATTACTTTCACCTGGCCAAGTGTACAAACAATTCAACATAATATATATGAGAAACAAAAGCATCACATCTTATAATTGAGAAGTCTAAACCAGCCAATGTTTAGTATTATTTTCTTGAAAATACTAATAATTGATTGATCAATCATCAATTATTCCTTTAAACTCTAGTTTGCATACATGCTCAGTGTAGTCATATGTTAACAGTAACATACACGCTGCTCTGTCAGCTGCTGTAAATGGGAAACATTTGCAATGCCCGATTCAATTTAGATTTAGATTCATGTTTACATGATGTGGCACACAAGTAACATATACCGCATCACACAATGACAACAAATAAAGAATAACAAATACATTTGACATTACAGACCGTCTAAATTTCCATCAAACCCTTTATCCACTTATGCTTTTTACCTTCCTATTGATATGGTACTCTAATTCAAAATAAAGATCATGCTCTAATGTATTTTGGAACTCGTTACTGTATACGCACCAATCTGCCCTGTCAACAAGGTGTATCCAAAGAGATTCAAAGAGGATTAAAACATATAAAAACAACTGTTGCATAAATTATGTATGTGTTACATGGTAGAGACGAAGAGAAAAAAGTCCCTCTACAGTCCCTACTCGTTTCGTCCTGTCAGACACCGAGGAATGGAAATGTCCTTTCCCCTCCCCCCTCAGCCCTGTGGAGCCTGATTGACTGGAAATGGCCCAGTGTTGCTCCCGGTGTCTTTCAGCTCGTCTTCAGCCTGTCTGTCCAGTTTTGCAACAGCAGCATGACTTCATTCACTCTGTCTCAACACTGTGCACCCTCTAACTCCTCCTGATCAAGAAAGCATTGATTTATCACTGTCTTCCAAAGATTTTGGAAATGACAGTGTGTGTCAGTAGGAGTAGCTTAATGATAGTACATTATTGGCATGACTCAGCAGTAGATTAACTCTCTTTTGGAATCTGCCCTGAGATGTCGTCTATCAAAAAGCTCAGCTAATTGTTTACATTGTCTCGATACCAAATCTCCTCACCTATCTGTAGCAGTGCATAAATCCAATTGACATGTCTCACAGTGTTGTGACATGCTAATGCTACTTAAAATGTATCTGTCATGTTTAGCAGTATGTCTGTGTGCAGATAGCCAGCCTTACGCACATGCCCAAAGGCTCTGTTTAGACAAAGCAAGAAGTAGAAGGTCAAAGCATAATGGATTACAGATCCCACATAGACAGTGGTTGGGGAGGATGGGTGCACATTTCCAAAGCTTTTAGAGGTCTGTGAGCTCTCGGCTAGTTAAAGTCTTCCCTCAACAGTCAGTGGTGATGACTGAAGTTCAGACACGGAAGTAGTGAGAGCTTTATCTGTGTGAAGCCTTAGGGAGAGAGAGCGCTCTAAATGGCTCCCTGGTCCTGATTCACTGTCTGCTGTGCATTCATACCCTGCACCCTGTTCTATTGTGGCATTCATTTATTACCCCTCTGAGAAGAGCCTAGAAAGCAGAGGGATGGACAGAGAGGAAAAGTATTTTCATTATTATCTTGATAACAGGATAGATTTGATTCTCCACTGAGACAAGTGTGTTTTTACATCACTTTTCCTGCTCTCTTTTCGTCTTTTCCTCTCCTCCGTCTCTCTCTCTGGCCTCAGGGCAGCCTGTTAAATTCTCTGAGTGGCTGTCTCCTCTCAGGCTCAGAGGGCTTGTCAAACTGTGCGCTTACTCCATGTTGCCTCGGTGACGTACACAGTCTCCTCCCCTCCCCTGTGCTGATGCCTGCACACCCTGAGTATCAGGAGCTGCTAGATGATAAATTACAGTGCACCCCTTTAACACCTCCCCCCGCCTGTCAGCTACATATTGGTGTTATGCATCCACACAAACAAATAGCTGTGCAGAAATCAGCACAGTAATTTTAAATATATTAGACCCATGTGACTGCCGACTTAATAATACATTATTAGTTTCTTAATTGCTTGCTTCATTACCGCACTACACAGATGCTTTTAGATGTTTGCCTCATCATTTTCACCAACAGACTGAGAGTTTCTATATATATTTTCTCTTTCCATTAGCCACTGGTTTTAATTGATGTCACTATTGTGTAGAGAAACTGGGCTTGTTTGATATAG